GTGCATTGGATCTTTTCGATTTCCCTTAAAAACATTTTAGTGTTATTTCTACAGAGAGAAAAATTGATAAAATATTATGAGCTCTTACTAGGTGAAGAGTATATGCTTATTTCAGCATCTTACAAAATATCTTTCGATGAGAGTTATAGATTATAAATTATAATATCGATGCTCATGTCAACCACCATTAGCACAAATAAGATTTGTGTAAAGAAGATTCGATTAGAGAAAGTGAAGCACTTTAAGGGCACTTTGAATATTTTGGCAATCCTAATTGCTGCCATTTTTTTCTCCGTGTGACCATGGCTCCATTTTAATCTGGTAAGTGAATGCGTCAACTTTTTCTCACTTTGTTTGTTTGCCCTGCACCACGCACACCCCAGAGACACTGGCGATGGGGGGCACAACAAAGGCAGCCAGCCAACGACCAACAATGGGTCTCATTTGGGTTGTTTTTCTTGGCCCACGACGTTCTATTATTCATTTCAATTTGCGTGTGTGAGTGGGGCGAAGGTCCTTCAAAGGTACGGGTAGATTTTTCATCAGAGTTCATAGTCCAGCCCACAAAGGTCAGCCAGCAGGCAGGGAAAGTTTGTTATTCTTTTTCGCCAGCTCGTTTATTAGATTGTACGTCCCTGCCCATTTCCCCTCCAGCAGCTGACACATCAAAAACTTGCCAGCGGCTGTTCCTGACAAGTCGATGTGAAGTGGCATCGATTCCGGTGGGCCAGGGGATTGCCAGGGGAGCTGGATGTGAAACCGAAACTGGGGCCGGAGCTGGAGATGGAGCTCATAAACACGACAAAGTTTCGCCCCCCTGTCGAAGCTGATCCGCAGAAGGGAGTTCATTATGGCCACAAAGCTGGGCGACTGATCCGACCCCAAAAACTAAGTAGAGTTCCGTCGTTTTTTGGGTCGCGTGCAGCTCATAAAACTTGTATACTTGTTAAAGAGAAAAGGGCTGCCAGCTAATGCCTTTCTAATGGTTATCCTGCCGGAGAAGGAAAGGTCCATCAATTGTGGGCAAGTAAATATTTTGTTAACATAATTGCATAAATCACAGTCAATTTTTCATATCGTGCGATAATTTCAGCCGGCACACATGACTCCCTGACTCCCACGGCAAACATTGACTGGCCCCGGTAATGATGGCGTTGGGTAAATAAACTGTCAGTTTGCATGACTGCCGCCATCACTCATACGCCCCCTTGGCTGGCTGAGATTGTGCGCCCAGCGAATTGCCACGCTCGTACGCACTTGGGGTAAACAGCAGAGGCAACAGCAGACAACAAATGAAGTTTGGCGCTTCCGTTTCCGCTTCCCATTCCTTTCCCTTCCCTTCCCCCCGATTTCCCCTGGCCGGGGTCATATGCAATCATTATGAAGACATTTCCGGCTCATTGAACATACGAATCCAACCAGCAGCTACAACAACTCCAGTCTAATGAAGCCATAAGCGTTGCACATTGGACGGGGTAATTTGGCCTCAGTTCAGGGCACATTTAAATGTTTCGAGCTTTCTTTTTTGGCAATCGGCGGCTTAACAGTCGAGTTCACTGCTCATCAGGTGGTAATTGGTTATGGGGTGGCAGAAGATATACAATAGCTTTGGGTATGGAAATTTAAGGGGAAGATTATGTAAGTTTGATTAGAGTTTCAATAAAAACATTTCTTTTAGCTTAAGGCCTTATACTTACTTCAATCAAAAACCTTACAAAATCAAAATTCTCATACCAAATTTAGTTCATGGACATTTTCTCCTGTCACAAAAATATACAATTTCATTTCGTAGAGTTTATGGTTAAAGTGATTTTCTTTCTAAGCCTATTCCCATAAATCAAAAACCTATGGAGAAAAAATTCATGTTAAATATCCTAAATTAAAACATTTTAGCTTTTGGCTTTCAGACTTTAATCAAGTTTTCAGAGAAATGTTAGAGGCATCCAAAAAGAAGGCAAACAAAAATAAAAGTATATAGATTTTCCTAATTACTAGAATACTTTGACTATAACTTCACTATCAAATTTTGACTCAACCAGATTTGAGACATATAAAACCAATTATTTATTAAGCAAAAGTCATAGGCAAGTTCCAATCAAATCAACAATAATAAACTGATTTGCTGAACATCAAACTCTATAGATGAGGTAGGGAAAAGAGAGGTCCCCTTTTAAAATAATGCTTTATCCTATGTTCGCCCATTGGATAAGTGGGCGGGCCACAATCACCGCCGCTGATTTCGTATGCAGATTGAAAAGTGTTCAATGCAGACCCGCCGGACTCACTCGCCGACAATTGTTGCAATTCCAGGGCAGACAATAAATATCTGCGCTGGCTTCCGGGGAAGCACTTTAAAATTGATTCTGCTGAGCTCTTCCCTAAGCGCTCCCAAGTGCATGCTACCTATTTTCCCTGTACGTCTCCTTCCAACTCTATGACCATGTCCTCGTCCAAACAAGACACGACAAATTGCCGGGAGAATGCCTTAGGAAAATGCTACCAAAATGGCTGGAGAAAAAGCCTGGGAAAACTTATGCGCATTGGGCACAAGTCAAATTGCATTTAAAGTGACAAATGTGCCTGGCTTGTAAGTGGGTGGAAATCGGGTGGGGTGGGGAGGGGAGCGGAGGGAAGTACAGAAATTGACCAAACACGTGCTAAAAATATTTCCTCGGCAAACAAAAACCAAATGCCAGTTAACTTCCTTTCTTCATTCATTTCTCCAGCAAAACAAGGAGCAGGAAAAGCCAAAGGAAGCGAAAGCATTTTTCATGCTTTGGTCAACTACGCCCACACTCACATACGCCCTGGAATTGGGGGCGTGGTCGCTGGCAGTGCTGACCCGGCATTAGAATTTATCGCTGTCAGCACTTGGGGGAGGGGGTGGAGCAAAGTCCTGCTGGGTATTCTCTTTCATTTTTTTGCAAGGGAAATGGAAAGCGAGGAGCAGGAAAAACTGTCGCTCCATGTGCTATCCAAAGTGGGCGGAATCGAATCCTGCCCATTCCCTCTGCATGTGACATGTGAGTTGGGGAATTCGGTGAGTGGTGAAAAAAAAGCAGCCGGAAAGGAAAGACAGAACCTGGGCGAGCACCTTGAGGGCGCTTGATTAATGGCATTGTTCGCCTGTCTGTCAGCGAGATCCATTTGGGCCGACATTGATAAGGCGCGCCGGCTTAAAGCCAACTTGGCCTCGTAAGTATCCGCATTAAGCACCAATTAGTTGGCGCCCAACGTGGGCCTTTCTGGGCCCCATTCTGCGGCCCCCATAATTTGGCTTATTAACAGTGCGTGCAGCGTATACTCGCAATTGTTATTGTTATTGCCGACAAAGTTGCACACACAATACAAAGCGCTGCAGCGACGGCAATTTCAATGGCAACGGGAGCGGATGAAGAGCCGAAATGATGCTGGAAATTAACTCAGAAATCTGTTGTGAGCTCATTGTCAGCAGCCGAAACTTTTGTCGGGCACAAAAGTTGGCCCAGCAACTTTGCGAATGCAAAAACTTTTCGGCGAGAATTACAATCGTGATAAAAATTATGAAAATATTTGGAGTGCTCAAGTTCTTGAGCGACAACTTGGCGTGGCCACGACGACTGGCTGGCTGGCTGACTGGCTGACTGCAAAATGTTTGCAAATCAAATCCAATTAAATTACATAAATGTGCAGAAATAGGAGAGTTTTGTTTTCACCCCGCAGTATAACCCCCACCATTAAATTAATATTTTCAGCGCAAAAATAGAAAAGCTGAATGAGCAGTCGCCATGCAAAACAGCATTTCCACCTGCCCGAATGCCAGCAATGTTCGATGGAAAAACTTTTGTAATCAAACTATTTGAATTGAACAAGCGTACACACACACACACACTGGGAATTCATGCAACTATTTTGTATTGGAGAAACTCATAAATCTAAAAGAAAACTATTGCAGCCCAGAGAATCGAGACAGAGAAACTGGGACTGCTGCAACTGCCTTTGGGCTCAAAAGTCGAGGACTAAAGTGTGGGGCGGTTTGAGGGGGTGGTACGTAACAATGCCAAAGTTATTTACTTATTTATGCAGTGTGCATATTGAACTCTCGGTGCCCTCGTCAAAATGCAGCTGTCTTTCCCCTGGTTTGCCCCACTTTCGACTCGAGTCCCCGGAAAAGTGGAAGACAGAGCTCAAGGGCCACCGAACGCACTTAGCGGCCAATTAGAAAAGTTCTCGAGGAAATCTCGGCTCAGAAGGAAATGCAATCCAAGATTTTCCGGGCCATATCAGGCCGACTTCTTTGGCTTGATGTCTGTCGCAATATTTAAACGTCTGCTGTAAATATTTGATGCCTAATTGAATCATTCATTCGGCTGCCGTTGCTCATTGCCACGCCCCTTCCGAATTCCGTTCCCTTTTCCGCCCCTCGAACGAGTTGATTTGAATAAATTTGAAATTCTGCTGAGTCTGCCTGTGCCAGCATTTAGTCTGCCCTTTCGTCTGCCAGTCGCCCATTGCAAATTTGTTGGCTCTGCAGCTCTCGCTCTCTGCAGCTGCATTTCACTCTGTGGGCGTGGTCGGTGGCTGGTGGGCGGGGGGTGGGGGCGTGGCATTGACTTGGCATGGCATACTTTGCGGCGCATTATGCGGCGGAACGCGAGAATTGTGCAAATTAGCAGAGCGCGTTTGCACTTGCTCGGCACTCATCAATATTTGCACTTCAATTAGTGACGATATGACAAACACAGCTTACACATTCGCGCATTTTCAGGCTAATATATACTACGTTCGATTAGCCTGAACAGTGAGTAGATATGTATTTAAAAAGAATTCGACTTAATCATAAGATGAATAGACAGTTGAAAATGAGATTAATTAATAAACTGTTGACTTGAAACGCATCATTAAGTCCATCCCATGAAAAGCACATGCTGATAAGCAGCTGACTGAAAGATAATTACCCATGAGCTCCGGCACATGAGCTTACAGTATCAGTATGTTCGGATTATTGGCGAAGAGCAAACATGAAAGGGACTGCGGCTGTGATTCTCACTGGTTTTGGATTATTTCTGCTCCAACATTGGGCTACATCACAGTTCCTGGAACCAGACTGCGGACTTACGGGCATTGCCAATAAAATAACTTACGGCCAGGATGCAGTACACGGAAGCAATCCTTGGATGGCATACATTTACAGAACTATCAATCAAAGTGTAACAGAGTTTGTATGTGGAGGAACGCTTATCCATAAACGTAAGACCTAAATATGTAATCTTCCTTAAGTTATATTTCATTCCATTTTTAAAAATCCCCAGAATTGGTTTTGACCGCTGCCCACTGCATTCTAAAAGACGAAATCCTGCAAGTAACTCTGAAAGCAAAGAGAAGATAGTTTTCCTAAGTTAATTATTTGCCATATAGGGCAGTGCGTCTGGGTGCTTACTATTCGCAGAGCAATACCAGCACATCCATGGATTACGCTGTGAATAAGGCGTTCCGGAATAAACTTTTTAACAGAACGGAACAGCACCACGATATCGGGATATTGAGGGTGGAACCGGATGTGCAATTCACTGGTGAGTTGGGGAGTTCTATTCAGGTTAGCAACTAACTTTACATAAGGCACTACCCACAGCTTATATCAGACCTATCTGCATCTTCACGGATCCCACAAAAATGCCCAATGTGAGAACTTTCAGGGCTGCAGGTTGGGGAAAAACTGAGAACGAGAAAATAGCAAGGGTGCTGCAAATATTGGAGGTGAACGAACTGGAGCCATCCGAGTGCTATGACGCGTTGTGGACGAGGATAATCGATGGCCAGATCTGTGCTGGTCATCGCATCGGTGACACCTGCCTGGGAGATTCCGGAGGTCCTCTGGTCCACCCAGTCCACATTGGTGGTCAGGTGCGGTACATTCAGCTTGGAATCGTCAGTTTTGGAAGCGCGGAATGCCGCAGTCCAGGTGTCTACACGCGGGTATCCAAATACATTGACTGGATCCTGAAAGTCGTTGATAATTACACGATACGAATGATCGAATTTCGAAGAGCCCCTGACATCACTAAGAATTAAAACCAAATCAATTTATGGTTCCGAAGATTTCGATTTTTAAAAAAAATTTTATCACTTGCGGATTATATTTAAAAAGGTTAAATGATAAAGCTTTTTAGCTAAGAAAAAACCATCCGATTGATGGTAAATTTTAGTGATATTTTTTCCTCTGAGTGGCGGAAGTAAATTGCAGCTAGAAATTTCTCATAATTCACAATTTTATTGCCGGCCGGATGGTCAAAACTTTGGCCATTTCCTAAGCGCTGAGCTGCAAAAGTAACAAGTTTTTTGGGCCCTGCTTTTGTCCAGGCTCATTACCGTATTGCGTTACCACCCCGCGATCCCGCAATCCCCTCCCCCTGACTACTCTTGGCCAAAAAGGCAGCCTGCCACTTGCCACTTGCCGCTGGCTGCTTGTTTGTGCCGCAAATGAACGGAAATGGTGAAACTTTTAATTGAAACCATAAATTTTGCGTGGTTTCTGTGCCCACGGAATTTGTCGTACTCCGCTCCCCATTTCGAATGGCCTCCTTTCCAGTCACCTTCACCTTGCCGAGTAGTGCAATTAGCGCTGTCCTGGAAGAGGCGAAATCCCTGGCCTGCACTTTTGACCATCCACCCAGCCATCCAGCCATCCAACCATCCAGCCAGGTAAGATGCTCGAATTCCCCTCGAAACTTTGCCAGCTGAGCAGATCCAGATCCAGATTCACTCGACACCGTCGACAGTGTGTTTGTGTGCACCGGAAATGGCGAATGATTAAAATGGGCGTGCCATAATTTCCGCTTCTCCCGGGCGAACGGGAAATTGTCGAGAGCGATGAAAGTTCCTAATTGAAAAGGACGAAGCCACTGAAGAGACGCTCCTGGCTCCCACAACAAGTTGTTGCCGCAGATTCGTATCATCCACATCACCATCCACATCCACATCCATCCAGCGTTCGACGTGCCAGTTTCAAAATTCAATTTCCTGCACTTAAATGGCTTGGTAGTTACTTTTGAGACCGCCTTCAACATTCTGTATCGGTGCAATTTGCTATTGAGTCCGCTGATTGATCTCAGATGGCAGTTCAGATTTGATTTATTTCAATATAATTCGAGAATCATTTTCACACGCGTCGGCTTTTTATTTTAATTAGATTTATGTTTCACACAATACTAGGAAAAGCCTGTTAAAATTGAATTCGATTGCTGGGAGTGAAATCAACTTGATTGGATATTGATTGATTGGGTTTCACATAGACAACATTAGGCATTATTGTAAAGAAATTAAAGTTCATACAATCAAAATATATATTATTTCTATACAAAATGTTTCAATGATAGTTTATAGAAGGATGTCAACCAAATATTAGATATTTGGTAAAACATTAAACAAAGTCCAACAATAATACAACTGTATTTATAAGCTAGTTTGGCGTAATGAAATCAAAACCCATATAACATTACATTTGTATAACGTCTATGTGAATTTTTTTTGTTAAAATTCAACTTTGTGTTTCTTTTGGGATTTAAAGATAAAGCCTTTTACGGTATACATTAAATTTTCCATTTGTTAGCTTTCAACAGTAAATGTCAATCGGATGCTGTGTGATATGTGGAGCATGTGGAGCATCGCGAGAATATTTGGGTCTGGCTAATATTTCAAATGCCTGACTCCCCAGTCCCGAAACTTGCCCCTGTTCAGTTTTTGTGTGCCACTTTCGATATTGATTTTGTTTGGCATAAATATGCTATGTTTGCTCATTTTTGTTGCCACTGTTGTGGCTGCCACTTCCACTCTGGTTACGTTTTTATTATTTCTCCATCTTTTTTTTTGCCAGTCGAGCGGCTCCCCTTCCGCCCCCTGTGGCAATATTTTTAATTTGCCAAATGGCACAGTCAGCCAAGTGAAAGCCATACCTATACATGATACTTCTACACATGTAGTGGCTGCGGGTTTTTTGTGGATGTGGCATGTGGCATGTGAAAAAGAGAAACCACAGCAGGAATTTTAATAATTCTAATGCGAGCAATGCTCTGTTTGATAGCAGCAGGAAATCGATACCTCATCCACTCGCCAATCGAATGATTTACGGCGACAATCGAGAGCCCGACTTCCGGCGGATGCAGACGCAGAAGCGTCGGCTTCGGATTTGGATTCGGATGAAGTGCGTCCTCCTCACGCATCATCGCCTCATTAGCGGGAATCAGCGGAAAATTCGCAAACTTTTATGGCACACACACACACACACACTGGAAATTTAATGCGCATAATTCATAGCATATTACCAACACTTCATTTCGGGCCACGCTTAAGCTTGGCTGGTTGTGTTTTTCGGCAATAAATTCGACGAGAATGGGAAAAATCTGAATGGGCCAGGACAAACTTTTGTTGCTTAAGTAAACTTGAAAAGTTTCAAGACATAAAAGTTTGTTGTGAAAGTCACACGAAAGTTGAATGCAATAAATCTGCACGTTGCCGCTGCCACCAAAGCGAACCGAAAAGGCATCTCTCTAAAATTGTGCAATGCGCTGCCAGCTCCCGGGCCAAATCCGTTAAAACCCGTTAGCATTTGCCCACCAAAAAGTGCAAAAGAGCCCAGAAACATAAAAAAGAATTCACTGAGAGCTGGAAAAAAAAAATGGGGAGAGGCGGAAAAAGGGATGGGGAAAACTTTCAGCGCATTCTTGGCTGATAAATGGGCAGCGAAATCTTGAAACACAGGCGCAGATTTCACCCAACCCGAGCACTATATATAACACATTCCATGCCGAGTCACGGCCAGAACTGCAATGCAGAATGGCTCTTGACCACTTCAGAATGCCAAATGGCCGGCAGCGGGAGCTGTGTGCTAATTATTATTAAGGCCAGGCCATTCAAGAGGCTCAGGTGCGTGGAAATTGAGATTTTGGGGGCTGAAACTCGGCTGCTTATTAAAAGTTTTACGGTCCACATGTCAGCCTGCAACTGCCAGCAACTTGCAGCTCTGCAAAGCAATCAAAAGTTGGCAACATTGCCCTGATGGCTGACAATTGAGTCGAGTCATTTGAGCAGGCACCCCGGAATGGCTTTAATTTTCACGGACCATAACGACGGCGGTAACCCAGTTAGAAAGCCAAAAGTGTCCTTGTGCCACATGCAAAATAAAAAGAAAATAAAGCCGGCGGGTTGGCAGCAATCTTGGCCATAACTAGTGAAAGAGTGGATTCGTTGGGGCAGGCTTAAAACGCAGTCCACCCTCCATCCCCCCTCACCAAGCGGAGTCGCCACTCCTTTATGCCAGGACCCTCTTTTTATCATTATGTGGCAGTTGCGGCTTAATTGCAATGAAAGCGCACGGCTTCCTCCAGCAATTTGCCGTGCGGACCGAGACTTAATCACATGAACGACACGGCGCCACATAAACTTAATCTCTGCGCCAGGTGAGCGATGGAGAACGAAGCAGGAAGGACCCTTCTGAACGCATTGCGAGCACATATTTCCCTTCGCTTTTATTATTATTATTATTATTATCGATGCAGTTTTCTCAGTGAGAAATTCCTGCAAGTTTAAAGCTGGTTCCTCAACTAATTAGCCTCGTTTAAGTTACAGTTTTCGAAAGTTAAACACGCTCACAGACGCAATTAGCAAGCTTACCGAGTTTATGAAAGTTTCGCCAACACTCTTGCCGCCTTTTTGCAGCTAATTAATTTGCCTGGCCCCCGAAAAGGAAACTCACAGTGACGCGGACTGTGACAGTCGGTGAAGCAGTCACAGTGCCCCGGAAATGCACATTTAGGGTAACATAATGTCTGATGCTGGAAGAATACAACAAAAAAAATTGAAAACACAACTCTTGCATTGATAATTTTTATGCGGCCCACCCTTAATTGGAAAAGTTTTCCCATTTTAATTAAAACATTTGACTTAATGCAAAATGCAGCACAACAAAAAACGAAAACAGCCAAACAACAATGGGAAAAGTTGCGCCGGCAAATGTGCTGGACATTTTGAATGACTTTGCTTGGTTGGCCAAGTGCAACGCATCGCTCATACGCCCTGTGTGCTGTGTGCCTGCTGATGGTTAATTATGAATTGGCCGTCCGGAGTGGCCTCGTAGTGGCTGCTATAAACGTTAAACACATTGCTCATACGCTCCGTATAAAACTCTCACTTCGCCAATGTCCTGTATACGAACTCACATTGCTCATACGCCCCGTGCTCAATATGTTTTGTGCCATTCGAAAAAGATCTCAGCTCGGTTTTGGCTATGTGGCCGCATTCCGGATTCCGCTCGCAGCTTATGCGATTTAGCCGACAAGACAAATAGTTCCATGTAATTTGCTTGTATGTCAAACGACTCGCATATGTCAAATGTCAAACGCTGTCCCACAGCCATTTTTCTCCATCTCAGCCCGGCTTTTCCTCGCCCCCTTTTCCGCTGGTGTCGACGTGTGCGAGCTGCTGGCAAAGTTCTGCGAACAATAAATTACTATTACAATGACAATTCCACCCGCAGTCGCATTTTTCACGCTTCGGTTACATTCCCTTTTCCGCTTTCCGCATTTCCGCATATGTGAAAGATTTCCCAGCACTGCTGATCAATGCAAGATCACGTTCTGATTCTACGGGATTACTGACTACTGGCCACTGGTCAGTTCGCCAAAATATCTAAAAAAAGAGACGACTGTAAACAAAAACAGAGTCCGGTTGGCCGGATGTCTGGATTAACACTTGAGTTCCTGGCAAAAAAGGAGAAAGCCAAGGCAAATAAAGCAGCAGCCCAGACACATCGACTTGCGCTAGACTGGGCAAAGAAAATATTGTTCCTAACCCGCCGGCTAATGCCGAAATGTCAAAGCTTAAAGTCGGACGGAGTGGAGACTCCGGGTTCGTGTTTTCCCTACCCCGCCTTGTGTTTTAATCAGTCAGCAGACGTCCGAAGTAATTAAGTGAGTCTGGAGCAGGAGCTAGTTGCTAATTGAATGAGCTTACCTCGGCCTGTTTCGCTCGGCGTTTATTTGATTTATTAATTTGGCCAGGCCCCACTGCCACAATCG